ATTTAGAAATTAATTAGAAGAATAATCATGTTTTTAATTTATAATATGTATTTATTTTTAATTGYTTATAGTACAAAATTTTAGTTTTTGTAATTTACCTATATTGTAACATTGTTTAGTTGTCAATATATTGTTTTATACCGTRATAAATTTAAATAAATATATTTTTGGGCAAAAATTTGCATATTTTACTTTTCTGTTAATTAATGTACTAGTATGCTTATTGTGCATTAATTTGTATAGATTGTGTATAATGTATATAATTGTAAAATTTAAAAAAAAAAAATGTATGTACTAAACTTGAGATTTAACGTGGTGTGTGAACACAAACTGTATATAATAATAAAAAATGATGTATAGGAAATAAAGACATTAACGATCTGACGAAGTGTGAATCGCCCGGACACACAGAAAACTACTCCATCTGTATAACCTCCCGAGTTTCAAACTGAAATCTGGGATCTGCAACTGGTCTTTTCACTAGGCCCTTTCTACGCGTATAGGTTGACGCCTTAACGGATGCATCCGGATGCATATTCATGAATATAAAGTACCACCGCGAATCCAACCATGTGTTACGCACTCCACGGGAGGATTTATAATAACATTGACTATAAAGTTCAATTGCGAACAAAAGAACTGAACTTGTCGGCAGCGACGCAAACAACTGCCTTTTCTTTTTACTACATGACAGTCCGCGTTCCGATGTAGAAAAGGAGAGAACTCTATTATTTTCTTCTATCGATCAACTAATGTTGCATTTAAAAATGTATCACCATCTGGGAGCTCAATCTATACATACATAAGTRTAAACAGCAAGACTGTAATAGGRACTTCCAAGGTTCAGAACATTTTAGGCAGCATTTAAATAGAGTCAATTCTAATATAATACCTGAATTCACAATTAATKAATTGGTAGTTGACTCACCTATACATGATTCTGATKAAATTGTTCCTATATCAGAAGAAATTGTGAATTTAAATGAAATTAATAATAGTAATTTTGATAATGCGGAAATAGGTGACAGTAGTAGACATTTTAAAGAAATTGTAAGAGATTATATTTGCTTACTAAACCTAACATAACTGAATCACTAAGTCAAGAAATAGTTGTTGGTGCCACCGAATTGTTTTCATCTGGAATTTTATCTATTTTAAAAGCTGAAGTAATACCACATTTATACAAATGTGATAATCATCAATTAGATAAAATTAAAAAAAAAATTAAAAAAATGTTCAATGTGTTAGAAAATCCATTTTCTAAATTAAATACTGAGTATCAACGTTTACAAGTTATAGAAACAAATCATTTATTTTTTAAGCCTAAAAAGTAGTTATAAGTTTTGTTGGTGAGAAAAAAGTAATTTCTGGAATTGAACGACAAGTTATGGTTCAGACCCAAGCACATTTATTTTGTATGAAAGAAAATCTTAAACAATTTTTTGAATTGTCTGATGTATTTGATGCTGCTTATCAATTTACTCTTTCATCTTCAAACAATTCAAATTTAACATCATTTTTAAATGGTAGTACATGGAAAAATATAACGAAACATTTTATTGATGATGCTGAAATGGGTAATCCTTTAGGGTCCCATTCCGGTATTCATAAAAWGGGATGTATTTATTATACAGTGCACTTTCACCTGAATACTTATCATCTTTAGAAAATATTTTCCCAGCATTTATCTTTCATTCTTCCGATAGAGGAGTGAACAAATTTGATCATACGAAAATGTTTTCTTCTCTTATAAGGGATCTTATTGACTTACAAGAAAATGGTATATCAATAGTTGTTAATTCTACAAATATAACAATTTATTTTGATCTCGGGTTAATTTTGGGAGATAACTTGGGTCTTAATTCAATGTTAGGATTTGTAGAAAGTTTTTCTGCTAACTATGATTGCCGTTTATGCCAGTCACATAAAAAAAACTTCAACATATACTTACAGAGACAAAAGATTCAATTAGGGATATAGATAATTATAATTTGGATATTCTTAAAAGTTAAATCCGATGTTTCAGAAACTGGTATAGTTGAGAACTCTGTGTTTAATTCCATCCCAAACTACCATGTAACAGTCAATAGTGTATGTGACTTTATGTATGATGTTTCAGAAGGTGTAGCAAGATATGATATGGCCACTAYTATTAGTTATTTAATAAACAATTTTCACTTGAAGATCTAAACTTTCGGGTAATATCATTTGAATATGGTGTAAATGACCAAAAAAATTCTCCACCTCCTTTTAGTCTCAATCATTTAAAAAATGGTTCTATAATTATGTCAGCATCTGAAATTTTGTGTTTTGTTAGGTATTTTAGGCTCATTGTAGGAGAACTAGTTCCATTAAAAACCAAAATTTGGATTTTATATATACACCTTCGAAAAATTATTGATCTATGTTGTGCTAGAGTACTTTAGCCAGAATGTGTACATCTAATAGATGCTTTAGTTTCAGAACATAACAGATTATATTTACATTTTTCTAACAGTACATTAAAACCCAAATTTCATATCCTTACACATTATGGTYGTCTCATTATTAATAATTATTAACATTATTATTATTATTATTCAGATTTCTAAGTGTGATGTTTACCTAAAGTAAATGTGTAAACTCGCCCTGGTTAATGTTAGTTACCTGTAGGAAGTATGTAAACTCTCCCGAGTTGTTTTAAATGTTAAAATATTTTTTTAAAAAATAAATAGATTCCCAACTTKTTTTTAAATCTGTATGTTCTTAATATCAGAAACAATAATTTTAACATTTTTAAGTATATTTTGTGTTTGTAACTTATATCATTACTATTATTATTATTATTGACTATTTTTAAAAGAAACTTAAATGTATATAAGATTTTTTGAAATTTTATTTTTTATTGTATTTTGACTATAATATTATTGCTCATATAGCAGCTTAAGGCATTAATTTATATTGTTATTATTATTATTGTTGTTATATATGATTGACTATTTCTAAACGCGACTTATATGTACATTAAATTTATTTTATGATTTTTACTAGATCCGGGAAAGTTCACATATTTCCGTTAGGTAGTACAGGAATCAGTGCGGCAATCCTATGGTGCATGTGTTGCTTGAGTAACACATACAAAATTTGGTGGGCGGGTGATACTAGATGTTGGGTACTTGGTTAATTATTTATCATACTATAACTTATAAGTATAGTGACAATAAGTCTATGTACATCTAATGCAGGTAATTTTTCCTTGAAATTATCTATTTTATCTCAATTTTAAACTAATTTTGTGACGTTTTGGTACTATAATATATTATTWTTTTTTACATATATACAATATTGTATAGACGTATAGTATTTCCCAATGCATAGTTTTTGATTTGGTTGTTTATGTTTTAATTTAAATAGTCATAGGTTATAAGTATAAATAATTTTGTAGCTAATTTACAAAATAGTGAGTTATATGTTTTTTTTTAATACGCACTTATATTTTAATAACACCCAAAAATTGGAAAAATATGTGAACCGGTACCCATTTATTGAATATTGGTAATTTATATTTTCTAATAAATATTTGAGGTAGGACAAGTGGCTGGGTCCTCAGAAATATTTTCAGCTACACATATATTTTCGAGGATAGCCACCACTGACAGGAATAAACCCGGGAGARTTGACACGTTCCCGTCAGGAAGTACTGGAGTAGACCCGGGAGAGTTTACAATCGCCCATTTGTATAACTGTAGATACATATACCGTATATGGYCATACGGGCACCTTAATTTAATTTTATGTTTTTCAATTTATCTTAGAAGCTATAAGATTGTGTTACATTTTTTCGTGTCATTAATTTCGGCTCGATTGCACCAGAACAWTTTTTTATAAAAATATTAAAGTCAAAATGTMTTGATATTATTCAGTACAAATTTTTACAATAATAGTATCTTGTATCTTTTGAAAAAAAAGATAGAAGATACTGGCATAAAATATATCATGATACTAGTATAAAATGTATTACGATACAAGATATTATTTAAAATCTTTGATTTTACCTTTGAAATTGGATACCGTGGGTGTATCTCAAACTATAGAAGCARTAATTGGAAATAAAAAAGTTACAGAGGGTAGGGATGAGGAACAAAGCAATGTACAACAATGATAAACAATTGGAATTAATCAATGTAGAGATGACTATTGTCCGAAAGTCTCTACATAGCGATTCAGACTCGACTGATTTGTCAATGATATATATATATATATATATATAATGCTCCATACTCTACGTTCCTGTGTTTTGTTTACCTAAGAAAATTCGCCGAGTACAACATAAATGACAAATAAGAAATCAAATCTGTAAGACTCTAATCCGTTACAATATAATAACAAATTTTTTCTTTTTTTTTTGATACAATTTACTGATTATGATGTAAAATTGTATTTTATTATCATCGTTAAGTCAAGCACCTATCCATTTAGGTATACCTATGATCTTGAATAGGAACGCCGCCRTATTAAGTTCTGTGATATTATGCTAGGTTAAAGCATATTATAGGTAGGCAAATGGAAAAAATTAAATATTTAAATTTATGATTATATTAATTGTTTTATTGTTATTTTTATCGTCATTGTATTTTTACAGTGGATATATAATATAATATACCTATAATATACGAAAGAATCAAAAAGACAAAGTAGGTAATTATAATTACACGTGTACCTATATAATTATTATAACATACCTATAATATAATTATATTTATAAAAAAAATTATGTAGGTAAATGTAACATAATTTGATCCTACGGAGTACGGAACACCGTTTAGGTACACATAAACACAAATACATATAATATAGAAGTCGATTACATTTATGGTATATATATATATTATATGTGTGTGCACACTGTATACAGACAATATAATAAAACATGAGTATACATTTAGCGTATAATTATATAATTTATAATATAATAATATATAAATAGTAATTAATGACTAGAAATACAATAAAAAATAAAAAATATTTAATCATAAAATTCTTAAAAAAAATCTAAATATTTCAGTCTACGTTATTTCTAAAATGTTTTACATGCTATATAGAACCGTATTACAAGACGCGCCGGCTTAAGACGTATATCCTATATCTATTACACCTATGATCGTGAAACACATATATTTTAATACTAAACATAATTTACACCGTCTACTTTCGCGCCGTATACAATCAGTTCAATAATCAGTTCATCGTTTCGAACTCATTGATCCTATTCCTACATYGAGTACAATGTCTATTCTACGCGATGTGCACACTTTGAACTGACTCTAGTTTAGGACAACAATGTTTTTTCGTCAAACGGGTAATAGGAATTTATTTGTTCGTTTGAACAAATAAACGAATACATTTACTGGCAAGCGCAAGTTCGTAAATATGCCACAATAATTATGACTGCACAATTTAATCGTGTCTATAATGAAATTATAATAACGATTGGATCCATAAACTGATATCCACATTGTCCGTATACATAAATATTCGATAGTGGTGTCACGGATAGACCCTCGGTGGTTCTTCGTTTAAGGGGATGGAAATTTTGGATTGCATAAAAAATAAATTAAATGTTGTTTTTTTTTTAAATTTAAAATTACCGATACTAATTATCGTTGCTCCACGATTATCGTGTAATCAAGTATCTATTAAGTTATCAACGATATGTATTTACAAAAATGAATGATTTCTTTTTTTTTTATATAATATATATTCTCGAAGAAAGTGGCAAAAAGGAGTGATAGGTATTTGATCAAAATACGCCATAACACTCTCTATCGAATCATGGTCATTGCCCGACAACATATTCGGCTGTGTCTACAGTATTTTGAGACTAATGTAGAAAATGGAATGGAATTTTATGCTTTTAGCGATCGAAAACGCSKGCAGCATAGAATCTATGTTTTTGCGTACACACGTAATGCACAAACGTGCGCTTAAGGTAACACAGCAAACGAAACACAATAATTGTTCAACGTACAGAGAAAAAAAAATGTAGCGAGTACATTGACGCGACGACGATACAACTATAATAGCAACGTTACAGCTGATGTATAACAGTAGATAGATCTGTGTCGTTCGTACAAATTTGCACTAATAATAAAGACCTACGGTAAGACTGCTATTTAAGAGGTATACCTATAATCTATATAATATTATGTATTATTTACACTCGTACTACGAAACGGAGTCGTACATTTTATTAAAATCTAATATAATTTTAACACGTTATCTAACTATACATTGTATGTGCATATAGAAACGAAAAACAAAGTCTTAACAAGATTAAAAAAAACTCGTCAACTATATATTTATTATACCTATAATATGATATCGCACGTAAGTAATAAAAAAAAAATACATGCGCAGAGGTTGGTCGCGGGAGAGGAGACGTGAGATTATCGGAAGATGAAACGAAAGAGACACTAGGTCGGAAGTGGAAGAAACGGAAGAAAAACCAGATAGTGCGATACACTTATCGCAGAGTCCACCTGTTGGCGGGTTGATGGTAAGGAATGAGGAAGAGTAGATGGAGGACGATTATGTTGGTCGTATTTGTATACAGCTTGCGCAGTACCGACAGAGGGAGCTCTGGTTAACCCGCGTGAAAAGATGTTTGAGAGAGAAACGATTTCAACGGGAAACAACTGAATTTGCAGTGTACAGCCGACGGGACGGGTAATCGAAAATCGGCGACGATAATGGAACCCGACTGACATTACGTGGACGCAACCGTCATGTGGTCGTCCATCTCTTCGTCCGACATGGCGACCGTGGTGTGGTTGTACAGCCCCTGTGCCATCAGCTGCAAGGCCAGCGGGTTCTTGGAGCCGCTAGACTTCTTGATCTTGGCCCGCTTGTTCTGGAACCATATCTTTATCTGGGCTTCGTTCAGGCCGAGCTCGTTGGCCAGTTCCTGTCGTCTGCGCTCCGTCAGGTACCGGTTCTCGTTGAACTCCTTCTTCAGCCGGGACAGCTGCTCGCCGCTGAACGCGGTCCTGGGACGCTTCTCCTCCGGGCACTTGTCCTTCCGCTTCATCCTCCGCGAACGGGGTCCTGCAAATAGTCCGAAAAACATTCGATTATTGTATGAAAAGACGAGCACGAACTGTATAGGTACGTAAGTGCACACATATTGTACATAGGTGTATGCAGGTACCTAGGTACTTTTAGGTGTTACCCAACACGTCGGTCATAATCGGTGCCAATTGTTTCAAAAACGGTTAAGAATGTATACCGTCATAAATTATAAATTATGTTTTTATTCACGTGATTATAAATATTTATACAAGTGTTCGGAAAACTATGATTAACAGTCCATCAAAGGATGAGTTGATGAAGCTAAGGAGCTACAATATTAAATCAAAATACGCATACGTATATGTGATGTTGAACCCATAGATAATAAAGACACGAGTTGGATATAATGTATTTAATATTATGTGTTAGTTATGCGGTCCATCATATATTATAAATTAAGATCGTTTTTTTATGAGTATTATGGTTATGTTTTGTTATATACAGATAGGTAGTTGGACACTATCGATATAAGTATAATACTTATTTGGCCTCAAATTCAATTTATAGGATTTCATACCCCATCGATTTTTTCCTTTTTAGGTGTAAGTATCCTAAACAAAAATATTTTTCTAGAAATTGCATATAATAATCATCTATTATGTATTGCTATAACTACATATTAAATTATTAATATCATTTTATGCGTTTTATCCGCTAATATTCATTRATACATATTTAATTTTTAGCTGATATTTAGCGGTACTTGTGCCACYTTAGGTCGCAGGAAAAGATTTGAACATCGACAAACTTCGATTTCAATTATCAAAATCGTGACCATTAAATAATATTGTCGCTCATCGACGGAATTATCTCCCGAATGCCCGACCTGTACACAGTCGTTTCGGTATTCAATGCTCGGTGTTGTGCTGAGGATATTTATAGGTAATGATTTATATCATGTCGTACAAACGTACAGCACAAACACGCGCGTTATATTAATTATCGCATAACGCGTTATCCCTCATCCACGATTGTTCGACGGCCGGTTGCGCAGGCTTTTGGCCCTGCGCCAAACACGACGACGACAGACGATTATGCGGCGAATGTATTATTATTATTATTTTAATATTATGTTTTATACGCGCGATGCACACATCGATACCGTGATAATAAATGAATAGCATATTAAATTTTGTCGTATGTGTGCGGGTGTGTATAATATTTTATTATAAATAGTATRGAAAACCGTCGATCTCTGCACTGCAGTGTAAGCACTGCAATAATGATAATAATAATATTATTTAATATAATATCATACCTACATCACCTGAACCGCATATAATATGATATACCTGCCCGCCTATAGCGATGTGTACAACGTGCAGAGTTCTCACGTCAATTATTACCATCATAATATTATCCGCGTTAGGTCCGACTGGTGTATGTTTGTATGAGTGTAGGTACAGCATAATAATATACTCACTCGAGTATTAAATGATATTGTGAATTGCTGTGATCGCCGCACGATAGCAAATAAAAAAGAAATCAAGCTTGTTTGGCAAACGTTCGCAAGRCACCGGTGGTAATAAATTCATATTATATTGTTAATAATATAATAATATTGTATTAATACAATAAAAGTTGCTTATAGACATAATAACAACAGTGCTAATGACACCACGGGGGTATCGACGAGATTGTTAATTAAAATAGTTAAATTAAAAATAATAGTTGGTAATTTTATTAGCCAMGCCCAACCTCCTAGTAAAAAATACCTTCTAAATTCCTGATTTCTGATGGGCTTATACAATTTTAACTCTTAAAAGTAATTCTTGCTGCGGCCTGACTTCTCGAGTGCCTAAGCGTCAAGTCTGGGAATTTTAGAAAATCAGCAGTTTAAAATGATTTGTAAAAATTATTCATTTTTTTTAAATACAAATTAAATGAAAGTAAGTACTAAGTATCAATCTGTCTGATTATAATTTTTTCTTTGCCAATAGTAGTAAGTTGAAAAAAATGTTTACTATTACTAGTTAGTTGTTTTTTAATTAATTTATAGGTATATTGGTATATATATATATATATATAATATATTATATTATATTCAGCCGAACATAATACATGCTTATTTGTACCTATTGTACTTTCTGTGCTCGCGGGCGTTACTATAAATAAATAAATAATAAAACAAAATAATGTTTTTAAAAGAAATTGACACTTGGCAACAAATCAGTTAAATACGGGAAACGTCTAATTTATATACAAATTCAAAATTACATTTCATGAAATTGTACAATCCTGTTCATATATTTGTGTTAATTTGGGTTCGAGAATATTGGGGTTTGACTCAACCATTTGCCTCTTCAACAACAACAGATATTTACGTAAAATACATGTACGACTTCCCGTCTATAGCAATAAAGGAGTTTTCGCGCCTCACCGCAAAACGTCAGACGTATTTATACTTAGCACTTACATAATAACAAATTTAGAAAGCCTAATGTAGGTGGGTACATTATTATATGCACGGACTGTAATGAGGGTGTCTCCACGCAACAGCTAGCTATTAAGTATATGGACTTGGCTGAAACGTCAACTTGAATGCTACTGTTAATATATTATTATATATAGTCATATAGAGCTGTTAGTATAACAAAACGTTTTCAAACTTTAAATTTTACCAACATTTCGCGTGAACCTACTATTCGTGWAAGTTCTCGGCAGACTTCAGAAAACTGAACAGCACCGACTGATTGGAAAAAACAAACTTGGTTATCTCGAGCCAATAGTGACGATTAGAAATAGATGTTTACTGTATTTAAYGTCCATGCAAATTGCGCTAGAAGTTGCAATTACATATCAGCATCGACTAATGTAATACTACTAGAATAATTTATTATTTATTTAGCAATATCAAAAAACGTATCATGAAATATGTAWACTTGGTAAAAAGACAAGCTTATCTACTCAGGATCTTTTTTTTTTGCATATTTTTGCATAATCATATCATATTGAATTCAAATATAGATTGTACGCATCAGAGCGGTACTCACTTGCTCAGCTTTTTGATATATTGATATTACTGTTTACAGTTCAACGGTTACAACAATACTAACCTAACCTAACCTAACAACAATACTTGGAGATGATGATCTACCAACTCATTAGCCCCATAGCCAACAAAACAATCCTTAAAAACTCGCGTATATAAACATTATTTTATTAAGTGCAACTCGGCGGATGTCATATTATATTATAATCCCAACAATGTCGAATGCTACGATGAAATAAAACCATAGACAAAAAGCATTAAATTCGTAATTGCAACGTTTTCGTTTTAATCGAAATTCAAACATAAAATAAATCTATGGTAGGTCACTTAAAAAAAAACATTTGGTAGACTACTAATAACATCCGCCGGCGAACACGAAAAAAATTAGAATTATCGGATTATGCCGACATAAGCACTTGGAGGTATTACCTTTGTATGTCAAAATTGCATTTTTGTAAATCAAAAAATATGACACCTGGAACCATAACAAGGTAATCAAACGCAATATACGCTTATTCTTCATTCGACAAATACATTTTGGGGCGCCAAGCCGGAAGCCCTCCCAGCACACCACTCCCCGCAACTACGGTTCACGATGTCCCCATAAGGATAACCTCATTGTATTTGTACGTGCATTATACTGCACTGCCTATATATAGGAATGGCGGAATCCGGCTCTGAGTACCTATAATGTTATATATATATATACCTGACGTCCTGACCTAACCACCGGTGGCCGGGAATTTTTTGATTCGGGTCGGCAATCGTAAGACACGTATAATAACAAAATATACTTATATATACCTTACTAACGTAATTACGACGACAACCAACGATAACATATTATATTTATTATACGAACCGCCGCCAAAGTCGTTTCTACTGGGATGATGATACTTTATAATACATATTGTGTTACACGTATCTACATCGTTATAACAATATTATGTAGGTCTACGTAGATGATAATATTATTATTATTATATACCTATGTTTCACCTGAGCTGCGCCGCCGAGTGGGCGGAGYCGTCGGACGAACCCCCTCGGCAACCCATAATACTACGAGCCTGTTGCTACGTCGATTATTATTTAGGAACCATCGTGAAAAAAATATAACGTACATATATAGGTACGTAATATATTATATATATACGTATTTGTGTGTGTGTGTGTGTGTAAGTACCCGCAGCACCTCGTACCGTGATCTTTTTAGTTTTTTCTCCCGTTCTTTTCATCTCAAAAATATTTCATCACTATGTGTGCGCTTATACTTACGATGATAGCCAGAAATCACATTTTAGGTTCAACTCGTACACGTTATTATAATCACCATCATCTCAAATTCAACGTCGTCTAGGCGACATTAATTAGTGGAGCAATTACGTCTGATTGAACTTTTTAACTACACATGGGTTATATATACCAACAT